GTCTCAGTTATCTTTGGATCAGGTCCCAGAACATTCCCAGATCTGCAGGACTTGGAAGACCCCAAAATTATCTTAAGAACAAAATCCTGATCCTGCTATTTCTTAGATAAATAAATTTAGATGATCTCAGACTGAGATCCAGCCGTGATACATAAATGCATCATCCTGCTAATTTGTGGTAAGGCATTTATTATTTCAAGTCATTAATGAACATATTACTAAACACAAAATCTGTATGGAAATTATAATTACAGCTCTTATTCAGCCGCATAATTGATTTTTAAAAATTGTTTATTTTATTTTATTTTATTGTATCACATTATTTTTATGCAGTAAAATGTGACAGTACCACATGCTTCTGAGTCAGCTGAAAAACATCCTAAACAAAATTGCCATCAGCCTGACCTATCAGGAGCAGGTGAATGGTATCCAATGTGCTGTTCACATCTCTGTCCCCTGCTTCTCTTCTGCTTATTTATTACCTGTTGTAATTAAAACAGTGAAGGGTAGATGGCTCACACAATGGAATTCTTAGCAGGTGATGCTTCCAGTTAATGACCTGAAATTTCAACCTCCGTTTCTTTGTCTGCAGAATGAAGAAGAAGTGATATAATAATGCAGAAGAAAAGAGAGAAAGACAGGAGAGAAACATGATCTATTTTACTTTATTAATTTTCTTCCACTTTACTGGCTAGCAGCAGAAAACATGAGCTGGGAGGAGAGTTATAGTTCTAGAGATGGACAAACAGATGAATTATATGTTGCTTTTTGTATTCATGAGAAGTTGACTGTCTCAGCACTTTCAGTAATGAATCTTAAACACCACGTTGTGTCTTATTATATTGGACAAGTCATTTATCTGGAGTATATGTAAGACTAAATAAGAAAACAGCAAGCTGAGCTTTTTTCCAGACCCAAAGGCTGTATAAACAGTCTCAAATCAATCTTTTTATGTTCTGCTGGGTACGAAACCATTATGCAATCTCTCTGCATCCTTCACTGCACAGGTCGTCATTTGACAAGCAGGGAAGGCCTCATAGCAGTAACCCCCCAGATAGAGATGAAAGCTCCATCTGGGCCAGTATCCTGTGCTCAGCACTAACCAGAAGTAAATGCTGAAGTGCAGACAGGAAAAGCATCTATGAGACCTCTCCTGACTACCCTCCTGGCCTGGGGCTACCTTCAGTCCTTGGGATTTCCTGAGCCAGGAGTGGTTTACCTACATCTCCCTGGCTGCCTAGCAAGCATTTGTCCCATTTTCCCTCAACACAGCTAAGCATTTTCTGTCCATGACATCCATTGGCAAAAAGTCCCACAGGGCTTATGAACTTTGTATGACAAAAATCACTGCTTTTTGCGTGTCCTGAAGTTGTCACTTCTTGGCTTTACTTTGATGACCCCTGGTTTTTGTGCTGAAAGACAGTCTAGGCTGCAGACCACTCATGGCTCTGTAAACATCGTGAAGTGTTGGCCATAAGTCTCATTAGCGGGCTCTCTCTTCCAGGCTGAAGTGTCCCTGTCTGTTCCTGTTTTCCTATTACAGAAGCCATTTCATATCTGCAGTTATCTTGGCAGCCCTGCTCTGACTCCTTTCCAGACCCACTCCAGGGAATGAGAATTGCACACAGTATTCAAGGTTGGGGCAAATTGTGGATTGATGCAGTAGCACGACATTTTCTGTTTTGTTCTCACATTCCTTTCCTGACAATTCCTAACTCTCCACATGACTTCTGAACACTGCTGAGCGCTGACCTGATGTTTTCAAAGAACTTTCTATTCTGATCCTCAGGTCTTGCTCCTGTGTGGTAATGGTCAAGAGGTCATGAATCTTCGTGTGAAACTAGGGGATATTTGCTTGCTATGCGCATCACTTTACATGATCCATCTTAAAGTCTTTTCAGGTGCTCCTACAGTTTCCTACAAACTGCATTCATCTTTAATCTGCCAAGTAATTTTCTCATAAGCCAATTTACTCATTGTACCATCTGATCTCTTTTCTGGGTCATCTATGAACCTACTCAATGGCAGAATTTTCAGCTTAGTTCCCCATTGAACTCTTCTGGGATCAATTCTCCCCTTGCAAAAATTAAATGTTTGCCCCTGTCCTGCATTTCCTATCTGGAATTCAGTTCTTTATTCAGTTTAGGATTTCTCCCTTCATTCCATTCCTTTATTTCCTTAAAAGATTTAAGGATTTCTCTAAGAGCTGATGGGAAATCAAGTAGATTGTATTATTTAGATCACTTTTGTCTACATGCTTGCTGACCCCTTGAAAAACTCATTAGGGGTTTGCAAAACAGGATTTTCTTTCATGTAATCTGTGCTGCTCTTCCCAAATGGGTCATATTGATCCATATGGCCTCCCATTCCATCCTTTATTACAAACCCTACTTAACTGCCAGTGCAGTGCAGATGTCCAGCTTACATGTCTGTATAATTGCCTGCTCCCTGTATGAAAATCAGGGTACAAGTGCAATACAGTTACTTACATCATGAGCCATGACATTTTCTTTCTAAATCTTTCTGTCTCTACATACCTATTGATCAATTCAGTTATTTGTCAGACTGGCTTTCTTTCTGTTTCTCTCTCTCACTGGAACACAAGTTTCTAATCTTTACATTTTATCCCTGAACATGAAAACAATGCCCAAGCTGGTGATCATGAGAAAAATGTAACAACTGGTAATATATTTATAGCAAATTTTAACCTTAAAAGCACTGAATACATTTATCTTACATAATTCATTAATCTAACCTAAACAGGCTAGTAAATACAGATTTACAGTGAGCTGGATATCTCTATATTTGATGTTAAACTTCCATTATTTTTTCTGTTGAATACATTTCCTGAGTTAGATGTGATCATGGACATCTCTAGGATTTATCCCAAGCAAGCTAGAAGTCATATTTGCTCAGTTCCAAGAATCAAAGCCTTTCCCCAAACTGTAAGAAGAGGAGGTTTTAACAGTACCTCAAAGCCCTTGCTTGTTACTGAATTTAGTGTAAGTGGTTCTGCTCTGTGCTTCCACTGGATGTGGCTGCCCATATGGAAAAATGGACATAAATCAGCTCTTCTGTTTGAATCCCAGTCCCTTGTGCCTGCAGAGCCACACCTGACACAATCGTTTGCATTTACACTGTTCTTTTAAAACTTGACTCCCCCCTTCCTCATGTTCATATCTAACTTGGGAAGTGTACCCTATTCTACATTCTTCCTTCCAAATATTAGAAAAATGTATTCTGTTCCTCAGACCAAGATTTCTCATGTGTGAAGTTGTCTTAAAACCTCACAATCCTGGGACTTTGGCTGTCCAGACAACATTCTGCAAATGATAGATACAGGATGGTCAGCAACTGCTGGTCAATAGACAGTGGGATTACTTTATCATAGGATGACAATACTTGTCAAGGCCTAGAAATGCTAAATTGTTTTCTGCATCCTAGGATTATTTTTTAATTTCACACCTGCACTGTCCTATATCTTCCTTAATATTCAGTGCTCTTTACAGTTGCTTGCTTTTTAATTTTTGGTTAGCATACTTAATCCTATGAACTCCCAAACAGTGCTTTACATTTTGCAAAAACCAAACTTCCTGCAACTGGTCTAGCATGGTAACCCAGAACAGAAACCGACCATTTGATCATGTTATTATCATGAATAGGAAATGAAAAAATAAGATTCATCCGAGAAATTAAGAATTGCAGATGTTGATGGTTCTCATTGCGCAGCAGAAATCACTGCAAGTTATAGCTACAAAATGCATAAAATACATTAAATCCCAGTTTGGGATGGAAGGCATAATCCAGTTACAATCCCCTGTCATGGGCAGGGATGCTTTCTGCTCAGAGTCCTAACCAGCCTGGTCTTGAACATTTGCAGGGATGGGACATCCACAGCTTCTCTGAGCAACCTCTCCCAGTATCTCACTACACCACAGTAAAGAACTTATTTCTAATATTTAATCTAATCCTACTGTCTTTCAGTTTGAAGCCACTCCATGCTCTTGTAAAAAGTCCCTCTCTATCTTTTTTGCAGACTCCCAGCAAGGATCGGAAGGCTGTAATTAGGTCTCCCCTTCTCTTTTCTATGCTGAAAAATCCCAAATCTCCCAGCCTTTCCTCACAGAAGAGGCGCTCCATCCCTTCAATCAAGGTGGTGGCCTCCTCTGGACTCTCTGCAAGGATCTGTGTCCTGCCTGTGCTGAGGACCCCAGAGCTGGATGAGTTATCTCCTGACATTACTGGACTGATCTGCTCAGGTTCAACCCAAAACTGACAGACTGAAAACAAGCTATTTGTATAACATTGTTATTGTGATGTGCCATGGGAGTCTAAGCATGTCAGGCAACCTTCCCACAGGGATGACTGATATCTTCATTATTTAATATAGACTGATTCATAAGAGAACAAGAAGCAATGGGCTCAAACTAAGAGAGGGTGCGTTTAGATTGGAAAATAGGAATAAATTCTTCGCTGTGAGGGCGGTGAGGCACTGGAACAGGCTTCCCAGAGAGGCTGTGGATGCCCCATCTCCAAACGTGTTCAAGGTTGGAAGGGGCTCTGAACCACCTAGTCTGGTGGGAGGTTTCCCTACCTATGGCAGAGAAGTGGAACCAGATGGTCCCTTCCATCCCAAACCACTCTGCCATTCCGTGTTTCTACGTTTTTCCCCAGCTGATTCCAGCGTGGGGTTAATTATGAAACAGAATCTCTGCCTGTCACCGCTTCTATTTCTTACACAGGCCCGAAGAGGGCTCAGAGCTGGCAGGCACAGGACACGTTCGAACACACAATACCGGAGCGCGGCCACCGATCCGGCGCTGACCCGGGTTCCCCTCAGCGAGGGCGGTGGGAGCCGGGGCGGTGTCGCCCGTGAGGGAGGGGGCGTGGCTTGATGTGGAGGCGCGGCTTGCCCAGGGGGCATGGCTTGGTCTGGAGGCGTGGCTTGGCTGGGGGGCGTGGCTTGGTTAGGGAGCGTGGCCTGGCCGGGGGCGCGGCCGCCCCGCCTCGCCCCTCCCGCCGTACTGCGCAGGCGCGGCTGAGCGGAAGCGGCGCTGGGCGGGGGAGGTGGCGGCGATGGCGGAGAAGTTTGACTCCCTGGAGGAGCATCTGGAGAAGTTCGTGGAGAACATCAGGCAGCTCGGCATCATCGTCAGCGACTTCCAGCCCAGCAGCCAGACGGGGCTCAATCAGAAACTGTGAGGGGCTTTGTCGGGGGCGGGCCGGGCTGGGCTGCGGGGCCTTTTCCCTCTGCAGGCCCGGGGTGGTTCCTCAGGGCTTTCTCGCTCTCTGCCTGGCTATCGCTGGCATCACGCCCACCCTCAGGGGCAGCGCAGCGACCCCGAAACCGGCTAAACCCGACCCGTTTTCTTCCCGACAGGAATTTCATGGTGACGGGCTTGCAGGATATCGACAAATGCCGGCAGCAGCTTCACGATATCAGCGTGCCCTTGGAGGTTTTTGAGTAAGTCTGTGTGTGCCTGGAAGGGGACCTGCTGCAGTCGGTGACTGGAGGTAGTCTGGCTTCGCAGAGTGGGTATTTTGGCTGAGGGCTGCTTGTCTCAAACCCGGTCCTTCTGAATGCTTCATGAGAACGTGGGCAGGCAGAGGGAGGTCAGAAGTGCCTTCTGCCTGTGTGAAGGCAGAAAGGTAGGAGAGATCATAAAATATGTACCTGTCTTCATAGAACCACGGGATGCTTTGAGTTGGAAAGGACCTTAAAGCTCTTCTAGTTCCAACTCCCCCGCCGTGGGCAGGGATGCCACCTACTAGATGAGTTGCGCAGAGCCCTGCCCAGCGTGGCCTTTCAGACTTTTTTTTACTTCTGCATATGTAGGCAGTAACACGAATTCTACCAAATTTAGTGATTTAATAATATCACAGAATGAGTCAGGTTAGAAGGGACCTTCAGGAACATTAGTTTCTAACACCCCTGTCATGGACACCCATTTAGTAAGTCAGCTTTCATTTTTTAAAATAGACTTTTACACTAGATGAGGATCAGGAATTAAAGTTCCAAGCGAAAATAACGTAAGTCAGTACTCAGGTGTTTAGTTTCAGAAAATTGCAACATTAAAAGAAAAACCAACTTAGAGGAAGAGCTATACTAGAGAGCTTTTGTGATATAGCTGGTAAGTTAATTTACTGGTGTTTCATCTAGGTTTAGGCATTGCTGGTCTGCTGTACTCCAGTGTGCTACTGGCTGTACATTGCTTTTTTCAATTGAGCTTTTACTCCGGCTGTAAATTTGTGATGACTCTCTTAAATGTTCTCTCTTGTGAGTTTCCCTCTGCCAGGAATTGTATTGCAAAACAAAATTGTAGATGAGTTTGCTGATATAGTAGTGTTAATTTTTACTCTTCACTGTGGTGTGTGCAGCTCCTCCTCATCCTTGATTTGCTGGGTGCCATATTCCTGTGTGCTTAATGCTCACCATGTCCTAACTCACCCACTTCCTGCTTTGTGCCCTTCCAGTTGCTTGGGAAAGGACCATCTTCCTCTGATCATCTGTGCTTATAACCTCTCAGGAGCTGGTAGATATATATTTTTTTTTATGTGCCTTTAATACTTCATTCAAAGCTCTTCTGGCTTTCTGGAAACACAGGTTTGCTGGCCGTGGCCTTGTCCTTGAGCTGCCTTTTGGAAATGGCTGAGTTTAACTGTGGTGGTTTTTAAAATGCACATTTCAGATAATGGTAGAAAGAAAAAGGCAGCAAGATGAGTAATTCTGTGCCTTGGAAAGCTTCCCAGTAGGAATATGATCATTTTTAGCAGGGTCTTTTTCTGTTTGCAGATACATCGATCAAGGCCGCAACCCTCAGCTTTACACTAAAGAGTGTCTGGAGCGAGCTTTGGCTAAAAATGAGCAGGTGAAAGGGAAAATTGACACTATGAAGGTAAACCAGAATTAATGGAAGTGTAATGCAACAATGTATTTGATAAGTTTTTACTTTCCTGTAAACATTCCTGGGTATGTTTCACTTGTGCAGTTATTAACTTCTGTTATTATGTCTTTTTTGTACGAATTGCTCTGCATCCCTGTATCTTAATTGTTGCTGATACCCCCTGTTCAGGAAAGGAAATCTGTAGTTTATCCCACAGTAGGGGATGCAACTTTCACTGTGATTTTATATTGATTAAAGCTATATGTAACAGTAGGGCTGTTTTACTTGGGTTTTTTGCTGGTGTGGAATTTTGCTGTGTGCAAATTTAAAAATAAGCAAAACAGAACGGGTATTTTTCAAGTCTGGAATGGATAGTAGAGGCTTAAAATGTCAAATATGCTCTATAATCATCAGCCAGTCTTTATAAAATTTGTGAAAATGCATCCCAGTGCTTAGGGGTTTCTTAATTTGTGCTTTCATTTAGTGTGAACCTAAGCATTCTGTGATACTGTTTAACTCCTGGAACTACTGCAGAAAAATCACAGTCAGAAAAGGAAGTTTAGTAAGTTCTGAGAATGTTCTTTGGCTGAACTTAGTGTGGAGGATGACAAGTTGTACTGCAGAATGTAGACATATGGAGATCAGTCCTGAGCTTTTTCTTTTCTCTGTGCTTGTGAAATTATGTACTTGTAAGGCAGGTGTGAGTTGCTTTTTGAAGGTGGAGTGGATTCCATATCAAATCAAGAGGACATGTCCTTAACCAGCTTTCCTTAACAAGGTCAGGCAGATATGGGTGCACCAGAGTTCACTAGAGAGGTCCAACTGCTTTGTATTTCTTAGGAGAAAATGCAGGTGAATTTCTGGGAATTCACAGACATGTATGTTTGCCTCATGCATTCCTCGTGGATTTCACTTGGGCATTTTATGTGCATTTTGAAAATACAATTTTCTTTGTTTGTGTGGTTTTGGGGATTTTTGGGTACTTCAGTTCACTGAGAGGTATGTTGAGTACAAACATATCTGTTCATTAGGTAGTGCTTGATGAAATCTAAATAAATTGTCCAGTGATGTATATACATTTATTTTTTTCTCTTTCCAGAAATTTAAAAGCCTGTTAATTCAAGAACTGACAAAGGTGTTCCCAGAAGATATGGCAAAGTACAAAGCTATTAGAGGAGAAGATCCTCCTCCTTAAGTTGGCCTTTGATAGCTCTAAAAATGTCTCATAAACTGACACCATGTTATAAAAACATTGATTGGAGAGAGAGAGAATCTAAGCCCTCCTAAGAACTGTACTAAAAATGGCAGTAGTGACTGTAAAGGAGCTTGATAGTTGTTCATGGTTCTGGTCTGAAGCTGCTGAATCTTTCTGAAGACTTCTGCTCAGTGATTGTGGTTGAAACTTCCTATGGTAATCTGCTTTTCTTTCCTGGAGGGTTTGAGAAATGTAATTGGTTACAGGTCATCAATGCAGAGCATTTCCCACAAAGTGCATTTCCATAGCAGAAAAACAGGTTGTTGTTTTTTTTTTTGGTTTTTTTTTTTGTTTCTGGAAAGTGTGCCTCAGGATTGTGGGCTCATCTGTTTCTTAAGAGAAATACATTTATTACACTTGATTATTTTTCATTTGTAAACTTCGGGTTTTTTTTACTGCAGTAAGAACAGTTGACTGCTTTTGTATTGCCAAATTCTACTGAGCAGGAGCCTGTCAAGGGCTGCAGTTCTCATGTGTCATAATTAGTTGCAGCCAGGAAAACCTTCAGATCTTTTGTTCTGGGAGCTGCAGTGCAGATGGCTAAGGATATAAAACGTGAGCATACCTGGGGACTAGCTCCTCTACAACTTCGGTATTTTGTACAGTATTTAATGTAAGCTTTTGTTTATTCATTTTCTGCAAGCAGGTTGTTGAATAAAAATTTGAGAAAATCTGAATCCTGACATTTTTCTTTTGTACGCTTCTCTTTGGAGTGTGAACCGAAAGCTGTGGAAAAAATAGCATATTCTTCAGTTCCACACTGATAGAAATAAAATGTGTATCAAGACTTGGCTCTTAAAATTTTACATCTGAAGGTGATGTCAGCTTGGCTTATGTGGTTTTATGATGAAAACCTCCATTTTAGTACCTGAAACAGGAGATTTTGGGGATCAGCAATTGTCACCTGAAGTCCTGGTTAGCTGTGAGCTCATCTATGGGTTCTGTAACTGTTCATACATGAGGGAGCCCCAGTTTGGAACAGGATGGTGGCTCCTCATCCAGGGATCAGAGGCTTGTGGGATAGATTGGGTTTGCAGTGGGAGCAAGAGGAGCCCTTTTCGTCTTGGGTATTTGTGAAGCTCTTTGTGCTTATGTTTGTTCTCCCAGATCTATCTTGACTTTTTGTGTCAGCAAATTATTTTATGGCTTTAGCTTTCTTCTAGTTGCCAAATTGAGTGGTTTTGGGTAGGAGCTCCAAGACAGCACTATGTGCATGTGCTGGCCTGCCTACTTGGCTAAGACTTAGCAGGGATTTAGGCATGTTTGGAATTACTGATGGCATAGTTTGCACACCCGAAGCACTCTGTGCTCAGTTACCTGCCTGAGGCACAGCCCATCCGAGATGCCGGGTGCCACCAGACTTTGACACAGCAAGAGGAAAAACAAAACCAAAACTAGGTGTTCCTTTTAAACTTGGTTACCTACCAGTCTAGGTTAATTGAGTTGCTGCCTAATATTACCCTGCCATGCACGCTCGCTTTTTCTTGTATTTGTTCCACCTCTAATCACTTTCGCCTTCACAATTTTACTGTATGAACTTCGAAAAGTGACAAGGAGAAGGTGCTCCATGTTTGTGTTTGGCTCAGCCTGGATGCTCTGGGTCCCTAGGAGCTGTTGGAGCAAGGTTTGTGACTGCCAAGTGGGATGTATATAGGACACAGGTAAAAAGGATTTTTTGTGTGTGTATAATGTAGTTGGAAAAGGAGCTTAAGAGCAAAATTGTTGACAGCAGGCAGGGGAAACGATATTTAAATGATAGTTGAGAGAACATTTAGGAGGCAAGAGGCCTGTAGATACTGGTCTGGGTGCTGGAGTATTCTGTCACCTAGCACTGACGCCAGCTTGTGTGTCAGATTTGCTGGAGTAGGACTCTTTTAAAGACTGGTGTTCCCAGAAGTCTTACTTATACCTCATGGATTCATAGAGCCACAGAATAGTTTCCACTGGAAGGGATCTTAAAGGTTACCTAGTTTAAACTCCCCTGCCATGAGGAAGTTGCTCAAAGCCCTCTCCAACCTGGCCTTGAGCACTTCCAGACATGGGCATGCACAGCTGAGAAGGACAACCCATTTTAGTGTTTCACCACCCTCACAGTGAAGAATTTCTTCCTAATACCTCACCCTAACCTGCCCACTTTCAGTTTGAAGCCACCACCCCTTGTCCTGGGATCAGCTTGGATTTAGAGGGCAGTGAGGGATGAACAGCTCCACAGCCCAGAGGCCCTGAAAATGTGTGAAATGTCTGCTCTGTAAGTGCATTGATCTGTTGTTGTCATTAGTTAATGAATTAAGTGCCCAAGGCTGGCCACAGTGACGATGGCTACCCCCATAACACTGACACCCATGCCTGCTGATGAGAAGAAGGTTTCAGGCTTCCCCAGCTCAGAAAGGTCATTTACAGCCAAAGTGTGGATCATATGCTTTCCCTGGATATCTAGGTAGTTGCGGTAAACATGATGACTGAGTTAGTTACTGGAGATGGAGGATTAGGGTATAACATTAGGTCACATCATCACAAAATCTCAGCTGCCTGTGTTTTGTGAGAAATGTATGAAAACTTTTTTCTTGGGCAGTGGATATATACATTGGGAATAAAAATAAATTTAAAAAACCACCAATAAACAAACCCAGAAAAACTCTCAGTTAAATTATCAGGTTTCATGATAATTTCATGTTTTCTGCTCAGCTTCTGTTCTAACTTTTGATACTTTTTTATTCTATTATTTTATGCTTGCTTGGCATACGATTTCTGGGCTAGCAATTCAAAATATTGCTATTGCTGCAACTGTTCATATTTAGCATAATATTGAAGAGAGGTAACTCTTGTAAATTATATTTGCTTCAGACAAGAAAAGGTGGCCAGAATGAGTGTATATGAGTTAATAATGTAGAATGAGAATTGGTAGAAACAATGGTGCTTTCCATTTCCAGTTGCAGATGGAACAGGAAAAACCTAATTTTTCTCATTTGTTAATTGGTTCTCTGAAAAGCAGCACATGTCTGAATTATCCTGATGTCTGCTTTGTTTGATGCTAACCTTCAAGGCATTTGGTGAAGGAGACTGTTACATCTCTTTCCCACTCTCTTACCTACATGGTTTGGGGGTGAGATGGAATTTTTTTAGGGATAACATTAAAACAACATCAGCCAGGCAGCAAAGCTTCTAAAACAGATTTTTGTTGGCCTTTAATTATCTCAAAGGAAAGTTTTAAGCCATTCAGGTTTCAAGTGCATCCTTGAATTTTTAGTAAGATTAATAAGATTTTGGAAATAAAACTGAGTATGTAATTACAGGTAATTATTTTTTTGACAATTATCTTTATAACATACATTGTGAGATAGAAGATGCTGGATAATGGTGCTCAGTACACAGTTCTTTAAAATGGAGTGTGTGCTCCTCTGTTTAGGATAAAGTCAGTGTAAAATTCTTTTGCTCAGGCAGAGAAAGAAATGGATCAAGAAGATAATAAGGATTTTGCTGCAACCTGTTAAGGCTCAGCATCCTCTCTGTCCCTTTTTTTACTGGAAGGAGAAACAATTGAGTGCCCAGCCTTCTGTCCTTGAAACATTTTTTGCTTAAACCTCCTTGTGAAGAACAAGTAATGAGGAGCTATGCAATCTGACAGAGACAGACATAGATGCTACAGGAGCTGGATGCTGCTGAGCTGTTGGTTTATCCAACCTATAGCTCTTGTTAATTTGTTTTTTTTTTTCATGCAGATCAAGGCACTGTCATTGTTAGCCAGTTCTCAGCGTAA